TAATTAAGCTCTGATTTGCCTTGACATTTCCTTTTTTTCTCTATTTTACCTACACAAATTAGAACAATTAACTAATTAGAAGGTAAATTAATAAGCATAAAATAAAAAATAAAATAGACTAAAAATCAAATCAAATCAAATCAAATGGAATAAACTAAAATAAACATAAAAATAAAAATCTAAAAAACATAGCAAATTATATGCATTTAAATACAAGAATAATTCCATTTTCATAAACTTATTAGCATGGGAAAGAGAAATATAGTAAATTTAAACAAATTAAACTTTAAATTTTTTTTAAAAAAAAAATCCTCATTCTAATCCTAAGTTTCGCCTCCTTCGCTCGTAAGCCATGACCCTCGTATATTCCTTTTAAGTAGTCATGTGGTACGCGATTAAAATCATTAAAAAATTAACGTCTTATTGACGAAAATATAAAAGTTGTAAGTCATAATAAAATATTGGGACAATTTATGCTCTTTTGAGCTATATGAGACAAAATGAGACAAACCCTATTTTTTGGAGGCCAAATTTGAAATTATCCTAAAGAAGGAAGAATGGACTTTTTTTTTGTTCGGTAAAAGAGTAAAAATTGAAAGCATCTTTTGCCTTTGATGAAAATTTAAAAGGTTCATGTGATTAGAAAACTATTTTATTTGTACTCTCCATACTTGGTATGTAATTACCATTGTAGGGTAAAACGTCGAACCTTAAATAAGACCTTGGATGGGGCACACATGCCTTAAATGAGACACTAAATGATCAAGGATAGCTCAGCCTTAGACGCCATGTCAACAGGCAACTTTCTTAGGGGTTGATCGCTAGAAAGAAACGCCAAATGTAAGCATGAAATCGATTGTACCCGTAATCGAAGGTGAAGAGGCTTCTGTGAATGTTTATGAAGTCGAGGCTATGTAAGAAATGAGATTTGCGAGATTTGCCCCAAGATGTGTTATTTGTAATTCAAATATATGAAGTTTAAATAAGGAGACCGTCCTGATTGATTGTAATCTCTATCTTTTGGGAAATTATCCCAACAGATAAAGAAAATATCCTAAATTCAAAAAAAGAAAAGGATATGGGCGGTGACTATGAGTATAAATAAGGGGTGATAAGTTAGAAAATCCCTAAGTCTCATTCTGAGCATTAGTGCATGTATTCTCTTCCAAAGTAGTGAATTTTCTTTCCTCCTCACAGTACAGCAGATGTAGCTCTCAAATCAAGGGTGAACCACTATAATGTTGAATCGAATTTGGATGTGGAAGCGTGGCAGGGAGGCGGATCGTGTATAACAAAAATTTCATAAAACTTTTGAGATACTCTATAGATTATATTAATTTATGCATGAATAAATTAATCACATTAATTTATATGTCAAGAACTCAATTAGGAAAAATACCTGGAGGCCGACTCGGATGATAACTTGAGTTCTTTGACCACGAACAGTCCTTGCTCCAATTTTTGTGTTTAGAAAACCAAAGTCTTCCACGTCAATTCCTTGATTCCACGTAGACGTGTGTGTGGGCACACGTGAGACAAAATAGGTTTGAATAAACACTCGAATTTTTCCACAAACACCAACGCATGCACGATGTGGAATTTTTTTTTGGGAGAAAAAATTTTCCTTTTCTTTTTCTTTTGAGAAATTCGGCCACCTCTCTATTAGGCAGAAAAAATGTTTCAAAAATTGTGTTCACAATTTTCTATCATTCTCATATTTAAAGAGTAGAAGTCAAACTTTAAAAAGGAATCAAATCTCTATCTCCTATTTTGAATTTGGAACAAAAAATCTCTTACATCTTATCTCTAATGTGGCCAGCCACCCTAGGGTTTTTCTCCCTTGTGTGTGGCGCCAATTCTGGATAGGGAAGGAAGAGAAATCATTATTTATCCTGTAGTCCAATTTTAATTCAAATTCAAATTTGAATTTAAGTCAAACTTAAATTAATTTGAATTCTAAATTGAACAACTTATCAAATAAGTTTAAAA